TTATGGCTGAGGTTAATTTTCTCTGGTTTGGCAGACTCAGGGTAAACTGACACAGGGCTAGCAGAGTCAGAGAGGGCAAATACAGGCTCAGGTGGAGCAGGAAAAACACAGTACCTCTCCAGATTTTGTCTTGAAGGAGTGGGAGAAGTACAGTCAAGATTACTCACAGTGGCAGACTGTTCCAGAGAGAGGCTGGGATGCGGCTGTGGCAAGGAACGACAATGGCGCCGATGCTGCTTCCTCCTGGAAGTGGGGGCGGAGATTTCAGAGGAGATCGGTAATAACAGAGAGGTTGATGCCAACTCCTCACCGTCCGACCACATTGCTGCAAGGAAAAAAGCCGGCAAACAACGGTCGGAGCAAGGCGTGGAGAGTGGGTTAATCCGCGGAGACGGCGTAGGGTAATCCTCCTGTCGTAGCATCCGCGGCAGCGCTGCAGGGAGCTTCTCCTTTCGCCGCAGCAGCAGCAGCGGACCGAGTCCACTGCAATACAGCAGCGGCAAAGCCAGCTCTGTCCCGAGCTTGAATTGCCTCCCGGGCTCAATGCAAACCAAGGTGCTGGAGGACTGGAAATCACGAACACACAGCAAGTTGAAGGTACGATGCGACAGGGAACACAGGAAAAAAAAAGGGCTTATATACACAGGGCAGTAATCAGGGAATGGAAAATAGGAGGGAGACACAGCTGGGAGGGTTTGGGTTAAAAGGAGACACGGGGAGCAAAGTTAGACACACTGACATGAGGCACAACATTTCACAATAAAACAGGAAACAAGAAACAGGCATAGACCAGGCACTAAACTGAACCTATACTAAACAAGAGACATGACCTAAGACAACCAGGACCCAAGCCCCCAAGGCCCAGCCAAGGCCCCAGACCAGAGAAGTAGCCCTCCAAGGAAGATGCTCCTGGGGAATCCCCCGACGCCCCAAGTCTGTCCCTACCCCTACACCAATCACAACAGCAAAGGTGGGACCAAACTATGACCCCCCCTCCTCCACTAGGTGATGGAGCTGATCAAAGGAGCCCAAATTGATCTGATGTGGTGGCAGAGGCTGTATCAAGACTAATGTAATCTAATAGATAATTTCTATATTGGTTAGAATTAAGATTATTTTTATTTTTCCAGTTCATGAGGACTGTTTTCTTGGCTATGCATAGGGCAGTGAAAATCATATGGGCTATCTTCTTTTATGTAGTGACATTATCTAAGCTGCCCAACAAACACACTAAAGGGGAAGTTGGAATGTTACATTTCAGACACTTTGATAAGTCTTCATATATCTTGCGCCAAAACTTCTGAACTGGTGGACAGAACCAAATTGCGTGGATATAATTGTCCGGTGTATTGGTTTGACAGTGTGAGCAGTTGTTGGTAGAATTAAAGCCCATCTTGAACATCCAATGACCTGTATAGTGCACTCTATGTAGTATTTTGTATTGAATTAATTGAAGACTGGGATTTCTAATTAGATGAAAGGTTTTTAAGCAAAT